TGCATGTACTCCTGGGCAAGCATGGCAAGGATGTGTCCCCTAGATCTGTGCATGGGGTGAAGCTGGGCTGCTGCTGTGGGCTTTGCCCTGGGAGCCAAACTTCCTTGCCCCGGTACTGCCCATGACCAAGTGTTAGCATAACAGCTGAAAGGGATGCTACTTCATCAAGGTGATGGGGCACTCAGAGGTGAGTTTCTGGAGGTTGATGCAGGCTGGCAGGCACAGGAGGATGTCAATGTATGCACCTTAAAAGATGCAGCAAAACAATGCACAGGCTCAGTCCAACCCTGGGATCTTCCTTAGGCCAAAGGCAGCTCATCCATAATAGGGTCCTGTGTAGCAGTTGATCTCTACTGTATATGGAAGAGGCAGGTTACTTAGTAACAGAGCAAACTCATCCACAGAAATAGGTGCTGCAGAGAAGTACAGCACTAGAAGTACAAGGATGAGGAGGAATGGACACACTTAAGGCCCTAGGTATATACGAACTGTAGAAAACCTGGGAACAGGATGATCACAGAACAAGATAAGACTAGGACCACCTTTAGAACCAAGACGGCAGCAGTGCCTATGCTTTCGATTTATTGAACGGACAGTTCAGGCTGAACCTGTGTTGGCTGGAGCAGCTGCAGGAGCTCATAAGCGCATTCATTCATTTTCAGAACAACTATAATCCACAACAAGCACACACGGGTAGTTATGAGGTTTTCAGCCCTGTACGTTTCATAACAGCAGACGCTTGCAGTGCTGCTTCAATTGTACATCAGCCTTGCAGACGGTATTGAAAACTGCTGTAGATATGTAACAAAGGACCACATGGAATTGTGACCCTAAGAACAGGAGGGGAAAATCTCTAGTAAGAAACAAGCTATAAATACTGAGCTAGTCAACACATTTCACAAAAAGCTGCCTGCCATTACTATGAACCAGTTACTTGCAACCTGTCAGGGATAAAATTTCCTATAGAGTCCATTTTAAAAAAGCCAAGAAATATGGACTTTGTCATTTTTAACTGCTTTTGGCTACCTCTGCATCAAAGGGATTAAACAGCTGGTATAGTTTTGTCTTGTTTTTTGAGCAAGTGATTTACAGGAAAGGTTAGCAAAAGCTGATTTTTCAAAAGGGCTTCCCCAAAAGAGTTTGCAGCTGATAGTATTGTATTGTTAATGCTGTGTTATCTTGCATTGACAGTGATTTTGGGGAGAGTATTGCATTTGAAAGCAGTTGCTTGAAAACTGAAAGAGGTTTAAAAGTAATTTATTATTAAAAAGCCTGGCTGAATAATAAATCTCTCTCATTTCTGATGCTGCTGGTTGATACATCAGTTCTGTACTTGTCCCTACAAAAAGCCCACTCCCTTCTGTGCTTTAGGACAAGGGTTGATACATTTCTGTCAAGCAGGCAGGAGCAGCCCAGACATCATCTGGGACTGAAGTATCCCCTTCTGAACAGCCAGCTGCCGGACTGCTTCCAGAGTAAGCTCAGATGCTGCAGAGAGGATGCATGGCATGGCACAGCTCTGTGACAATGATCCCCTGTCCTAGGCTGGACCTCCTTGTGAGACTGATTCTCCAAAGGCCTGTAGGTCTGATCCAAGGGAAAAAAAAGCACAAGTGAGAAAAATGTGAAAAGACTTATACCTATCTGAAAATGAATTTCTGTAATTAAGTCTATCAGTATAAATCTACTAGTGCTGCTCTACCAATCATTAAACCCTTTTCTTTGCTGCTTCACCAAATGTCCCTTGTCAACAAAAGTGTGCTCTATTAAACTAAGGAGAAAACAAGGCCACACCTGTTCTACCTGACAGCATTGAAGGCAAATTCAGTCTGGAAGTATCATTAGTAGGGTTGCACTGATAGAGATTTTTTGGGCTGATACTGATGGCCAATTTTTAACGAGCCATATTGGCCAATACCAATCCGATTGCCGATATGCAGCCAGGCAGCTTGGAGAGCAGCGTCTGGCTGGTAAGTCTTATGGGGAAGGGCAGACTGAGGCCCCCTCTGTGAGGGAGGGAGTGGGGCTGGGGCTGCACAGCTGGGGTGGGGTGCAGGACAGAGCTGCAAATGGCTTGTCCACGGG